GAAAAGTTATACTTGCATAAGATATTTCTACTTCGGTGCAGACTGATTTTTCCCTCATCAACATGCCAGCACTATGAATTCCAGGATGGTATTGGGTGGCAAAATTAGGCTTTCTTTGTGCTTGTTCACGTATTGCATTCTTATTTCCAATTATTACTGAAAAATTTCTCACGTGAGTAAGCTTTGTTTTAGAGCTAGAAGATTATGATGATGGAGCTGATTTTACTTTTCTTACTATAATCGTCAATTCATGATGTAATATAGGCAGCAGTGCTCTCCATGGATGAGTCAGTATTAGATGTAGATCAAGTGGAAAATCTTATCAAATTTTGCCCCACCAAAGAAGAGATGGAGCTTCTCAAGGTGAAATATCTTGTGCTATAATATTGGATTATCCTTTATTAATTTTACCATGAAATGATATCCTGCTCTTTTTACATGTATGGCAAATGAGGCTCTTTACTTATGATCAATTAACTGAAGGTTTGTTTGTGCTTAAATTCGTAAGGGATACTCTGGTGACATGGATAAACTTGGCAAGTGCGAACAGGTAACTTGCTCTGTTGAACAGGTCATAGCTTTTGTTTCTGCAGTGTGGCATTTAATTGCTTTATACTTGTAGCCTTGTAAATTCAATCCCTCCTTGATGTGATGCTAGCTTGTATACAGAATACAAGCATCGCTATCATGCTAAGGTCAAAATTGAGTTATTTGTACATAACGCAATAATGCATGTCAATGTAGTACAACTTCTGAGACAGAGATACAACTTCTATCTTAGGAAAAGGCTGGGACTTTGCTTCCATTCAAAGTTCGTGGTGTATCTTTGTGGATCCCACATCGGTTACTGAGAGGAACGAAACATTCCTTATAAGGATGTGAAAACCTCTCCCTAGTAGACGCGTTTTAAAACCGTGAGGCTGACGGTAATACGTAATGGGCCGAAGCGGACAATATTTACTAGCGGTGGGCTTGGGCTGTTACAAACAGTATCAAAGCCCGAGCAATGTGTCAACGAGGACGCTGGCCCCCAAGGGGAGTGGATTGTGAGATCCCACAAGTTAGAGAGGGGAACAAAGCATTCCTTATAAGGGTGTAGAAACCTCTCCCTAATAGACGCGTTTTAAAATCGTGAGGCTAACGGCGATAGGTAATAGGCCAAAGCGGACAATATCTGCTAGTGGTGGACTTGGACTGTTACAATCTTGGTCAAAATAGGCTTCTCCTTTGCCACCGGCTTTAAGATCCAACTTAAAAAAGACATCTTTTGGTTTACTGCTAGTTTTTGATTAAATGAGTTCTTTGATATTTTGCATGTGACATGAATGCCGTTTAGAACAGATGTTTCTGTTTTTTTAATCTTTTATATATAAACCATCAGCAATTTTTGGAGACAATGCAATTACATGTTTTCTTTTCTTCTTCTCATTTGTCCACACATCAGTACTTTCTAGAGATGATGCAAGTTCCACGTGTGGAGTCGAAGCTAAGAGTATTTTCTTTCAAGATTCACTTCAGCTCACAGGTTTTGTGGTATTTGCAACTCTTCATTTTTATCCCATTTTTAGTTTTGAAAATATATAAGAATTTCTTTGGTGTAAGCGTACTCTTTTACTCTATATACCTATTCTTGACCTCCTTTGCAGATAGCAGAGTTCAAAAAAAGCCTAAACACTGTAAACTCTTTCTGTCAAGAGGTCTATTGATAGTGTTAATCAGTACCTTTCTCCAGTCATTTGATATCTGTAAACTCTGAGCCCATTAATTTACATCACTGTTTTAATAGGTGAGGAGTTCTTGCAAATTGAAGGAGATATTGAAAAGAATTCTTTGCCTGGGAAATATGCTAAACCAAGGAACTGCTAGGGGTAACAAACTTTATACCATGGACATGAAATTCTGAACATGAAATTCTGTCTCAATACCATTTATACGATGCAGGTTCTGCAATTGGGTTCAGGTTGGATAGTCTCTCAAAACTCACTGATACACGTGCTTCTAACAATAAGTTGACTCTCATGCATTATCTGTGTAAGGTACTATTCTAGTGTTGTCTGTCTTATTGATAACTTTTGATTTTCTAATTTGGTGGGAGAATAAATGTTGCTTGTTAATTAAGTTATAATCTTATTGAATAAATGTTTGTGTAAATTGAAAGTTTCTTCTTCTAGGCTTCCCCTCAAGATTTTAAAACGCGTTTACTAGGGAGAGGTTTCCACACCTTTATAAGAAATGTTTCGTTCCCATCTCCAACCGATGTGAGATCTCACAATCCACCCCTTTGGAGCCTAATGTCCTCATTGGCACACCGCCGGTGTTTGGCTTTGATACCATTTGTAACAGCCCAAGCTCAAGCCCACCGCTAGCAGATATCGTCCGCTTTGGCCCGTTACATATCACGGTCAGCCTCACGGTTTTAAAACGCGTCTACTATGGAGAGGGTCTAGCCCTACTCCGATTAGTGTCTCGCACCGTCCATTGACTGACTTTGATACCATTTATAGCAACCCAAGCCCACAGCTAGTAGATATTGTCTTCTCTGTGCTTTCTATTCAAGGGTTTGCCCTCAAGGTTTTAAAATACTTATGTTTTAGAGAGGTTTTCACACCTTTATAAGAAATGTTTCATTCCCTTATCCAACGGGATCTCACATCATGAGTCTAACTATTAAGTCCATAGGATATGGGGGCAAAACTTTAAAGGTGTTCCTGTTGTTACTTTATCGGTTGATGTAGATTCACCTGGTCTGATTTACCTTAAAATTCCTGGATTGACAGATAGAACGTACTGGAATCTTTGTAAAAGTGAAAGATGGGGTTTATGGAATTTAACTTTTGGTTTTTACTAGAAAAAGAGGGATAGGTTGTGAATTGAAGTTCGATCTGTTTACGTTCCCCCCCAACGTCTCTCGAGTGTGGCAGGTTGATCACAAATTTGGTTTATGCATGTGCCTCAGGTCGTTGCTTCAAAGTCACCATCACTTCTTGAATTTCATCTGGACCTTGGTAGCTTGGAAGCTGCGTCTAAGGTCTACATATTTCATGGCATTGAATTCAATCAATATGATCCAAAAAAGAACTTATTTGACTTGGAGTCTTGCTTCCTATGCAGATACAATTGAAATCTTTGGCAGAAGAAATGCAAGCAATAACAAAAGGATTGGAAAAGGTGAAGCAGGAACTAGTTGCTTCTGAAAGTGATGGCCCCATCTCTCAAACTTTTCGTAAGGTTGCCACTTCTTTCTTCCTTCCCCACCCCCCATAGTCATTGTGGACACTTTCCAGTGGATTAAATTTACTATGTTGTATTTTTAGATATTGAAAGGATTTGTTAATCTTGCCGAGAAGGAGGTCGAATCTGTGACCGTTCTTTACTCGGTGGTGGTAATCTTCTAAACTAGATCTTGTATGTTGGAATAAAGTTTGAAGTTATTGTGAAATAAAGGAGACCACTGCATGGTTGCAGGGTAGAAATGCTGATGCACTTGCTCTATATTTTGGCGAGGATCCTTCCCGTTCTCCATTTGAACAAGGTTAGCTAGTCTCGACTTTTCTTTTGTTCATTGTTGCGGTGTCATAACTGTAAGGGCTGCCGTTCAGTTCAGTAAGTTTTTTTCATGACTGATATGAGATCCCATGTCGGTGGGAGAGGGGAACAAAACATTCCTTATAAGGGTGTGAAACCTCTCCCTAGTAGACGTGTTATAAAACCATGAGACTAACAATGATACGTAACGGGTCAAAACGGACAATATATGCTAGTGGTGGGCTTGAGCTATTACCAATGGTATCAGAGGTAGTTACCAAACGGTGCGAGACACTGGTCGGAGTAGGGCTAGACCTTCTTTATAGTAGACGTGTTTTAAACTGTGAGACTGACGGTGATACGTAACGGGTCATCTTAGAACCGTGAGGCTGATGGTGATACGTAACGAGCCAAAACGGACAATATCTGTTAGCAGTGGGCTTGAGCTGTTACAAATGGTATCAAAGCCGACACCGGGCGATGTGCCAATGAGGACGCTGGGCCCCCAAGGGGGTAGATTGTGAGATCCCATATCGGTTGGAGAGGGGAACGAAACATTCCATATAAGGGTGTGGAAACTTCTCCCTAGCAGGCTGATGACAATACGTAACGGGTCAAAACGGATAATATATCATGGCGTTCTTTTCAAGCATTAACTCAGATTGTGGAAGGGATTTGTAATATGGAAGGGATTTGTAATATGGAAGGATGTAATGCAGTTCCATCATTCCTCCTGTAACCTAGTTTACTATTCTCAAATTGATTCCATGTGTTCAATGCAACGCAGTTACAGGAACTCTGTTCCATTTTACAAGATCCTTTCTGAAAGCACATGAAGAGAATAGCAAGCAGTTAGAAATGGAGATGAGAAAGCTGAGAAAATCTAACAATTAAATTATGACTCTGAATTTCCTCCAAACCAACACAATTTGCTTCAATCTTCATAATCTTGAAGTAAAACTGGAGCAGACCCTCTGCTTGTTGGATGAGGCATTCAAGTTGAGAATTTGAATAGCTTCACAACTGAGCCAGCGTCTATGAATCAGCCAGACTCTCAGCCGTAGGGATCTTACATCCACCAGCAATAACTATCTGTACAAAGCTCTCTCCCTCTTCATATTTCTTCACTTTACCAATTCTGTAACATAAGTTTCTGAATTTCTATCCTTAACGATGTTGTATAGCTCTATAAATAAGAACCATTAAATCTTTTACAACATTTTCAACCCACCAGTCAATTTTTAGCCATAGCTTCCATCTACTCTCGAGCGAATGTCTGTACCAGATCAAGGCTTTGTTTTGTATGCATTTTCCATCTGGGTTCGTCAACTTTTGCTTGCAACAAGCGTTGCTTTTTCCACATAATGCTCAAATCTTAAGTGGGCAATCGAAAACGTTCGTATTCGAAGGAAGAATCATAGATGTTCAAAAGAAGTATTTGAAGATTTGAAGCAGGCTTTTTAAGGCTGCTTAACTAGACTGCAAACTGTTGAGTTTTATTTTTTCAATCAAGCTACTGATAACTGGAGGTCTGTATATTCTACCACAATGTAACGGTTGGTTATCTACAATTCGAACACCGAACAGAAAGAACTAAAGGAACAATTTCAAATTTTCACATGCTTTCTTCTCCTGGATCTTTGATTCTACTGTGGATGCTTATCTGTATAGTTTCTTATTGAATTATTTCCTGGGGTTCTTCTTATGATTCTTTAACTGAGTTCTATATACTTTTTTCCTGCAGATTGTCCTGATGGATGGATGATCCACAAGTTGTTGAATGCAGGTTCTGTTCCTGTAGAACCTTTGAATCCATGTAACCAACATTGTCTACCTCTCCAGAGTGTATTTGAAGAGCCTGTCTTCCTTCCAGATCCACCCAGTAAACCGTCTTACAACTCTTGAAGAACAGACAACTAAACGTCGTGTCGAGGACGACAAAAATGGAGTATAGATATGCAATAACAATCCCTTCTGACAGCATGGAAAGGTTTAGTCTTCCAACACCATTATAAGCTCTTACTACACGGTACTGGAACAAGGCTTCAATAGCAGCCATGGCTAAATTTGCAGGCAGAGCCAAAAGCAATGCTGTGGAAGTTTTCCCTCTAATCAAAACACAAGCTTTGAGTATTGGTAGATAACCACCAAGCCTTTCCATGCCTGACAAAACCAATGCTAAGTTACTGATAACCCAAGTGTTTGCCAGAACAATGGAATACAGGACAGCTCCAGCTGCTGAGAGAAAGACAAAGCTGGTGGAAGAAGACAAGCCAAACCCATCAAGGAAACTGAAAGCTAAGCAAAGAATTGAAAAGATTGTTGCATTTGCTGAGAGTGTGAGGAGTGAGCTGCAAATATGGGTGAGAAGAAGTGGACTGTAAAGGGTTCTGACAGAGGAAAAGGAGGGGTGGGCTGTTGGTTTGGTCTCCTTTAGAGCTTGAATCACCGAGGCTTTTGCAATAAGAAGGAAGGTAAGAGTGAAAGGAAGAGTGAAAATGGAAGAAAATATGGCTTGGGAAAGGTTGAGAGTGAAAATGGAGAAGAATTCAAGGGAAGGAGGGAAGGCTGCAGCATAAAAAAGAAGCCTCAAGCGATGGTGTATGTTTGGAAGGAAATAAATGGAAGAAGTAAAGGCAAAGGTTTGTGAGAGAAGAAGGGGAACTGAGAAAGGGAAGGCAAACAAGGCTGAGGAAGAGGTGAAGTACTGATATTTCTGCAGGAAACAGAAGATTGATGTTCTGATGATGCTGCCTGTGCCTGTGCCTGTCTTTCCCATTTCAATTGCTAGAGGTTTCTGTATTCAGAAGGGTGAATCATGAAACGGGTATCTTCCTGCGTGGATGTTGAGGTGTATATATTAGAGGAGTTGGGAAAGTTTAGGTGTTTAAGCCTTTGGTGATGCTTTTCAAAATTTGGTTAAATGGATAGCTCAACTACTGAATAACAACAAAATTTGGAGTAGTTCAAGCTTTTCAATAAAACCCGTCCACTGGGGAGAGTTTTTCATATCCCCCTTCTTCAACCGATGTAGGATCTCACCAAGATTGACCATCTTTTAAAAACTATTATGATTTATTGATTCATTCTTTAGAACGGGAGTTGCTGTCAAATGGCTAGGCGGTTGAAGCATATAAATTCATAAACAAGATAAGAAACAAGAACACAAAATTGCAAAGGGCAAATCAATCTTTTAGCATTCTCTTCCATCGTATCAACAACTACAATTACTCGAACAGAAAGAACAGGACTATAAAACAATGATCGATCGATTAGCCATAGTCCAACAGATAAACGAAACTATAACAGTCCAAGCCCAAGCCCACCACTATTGGATAGTGTCTGATTTAGCTTATTATGTATCGTTTTGTGTATTTTGTGGTTGGAATCTAGGAAGGAGAAAGGAGAAGAATACATATGATAAGGTTGGTAGAGAGAGCATTTGAGGTGGGCTTTCATTAGTTGAAACTTCCCTAAATTATCATCATAAATTCCATCAACTTGCTTACCTAATAATCAAATTTCAACCATTATTTAATTTCATTTCAATTTCCTTTTGCTTCTCAAACACAAAATAATAATAATAATTATTATTACTGTGTCGGTGTAACCAGTGACCTACAAACAAAAATAGTGATTTTAATTATATAAACATTAGAGGACTTTTTTCTAATGTCCAAACATTTGTAATTATGCTTCTTTTCTCATGTAAATGTATATTAATATTTCGTATCAAATAAGTTATTGAAAATCTCGTAAAATTTATGTATTTAATGTATTATATTTTTTAATATTTCTCTTAATTTTTTAATTTTATGTCTAATAAATTTTTGACTAATATCTTAATTAAAAAAAGAATCAATTTTATATTTAATAGATCAATAATTTTTTTATTTTTAATATGACTATCGTATAATTTAGAGGAGGTTAGAATTTCAATTTTATATTTAAATAAAGTCTCATAAACTTAGAAGATAATAATAAATTAAGTAGTAGGTTAAATATCACTTAAATTAATAACGTCAAATACCAACCAAAAATAATATTAAAGATGTGATTAAGATATGTTATGATTTATTATTATTATTATTATTATTTGGTGTTATTATAATTTCAAGTTGAATTAAAATGAAGAAATAATTGGAAAGAGACGATTGAGCCACTAAAATACTAAATACTTGTCAATTTATTAATCCTTCAAATAATGAAAGGTGGCTTCACTTATAAAATACTAACATATGCTAATAATTCGTTTTTTTTTTTTTTTTTTTTTTTT